GAGCCCCAACTGGAAAGCCCAGACAAGGGAGGCAGGGACTCTTCACAACTGCAGAGAGAGAAACTGTGAGTGATGAAGAGTCCCTCTGGGAGAGAATATAGGAGGACTGGAACGAGCCTTTAACTGGTTTGAACAGCGAGGAAATACTATTCAGAAATGATGAAAAATGGTGAGGGAGCTTGTAATTTGTGCTCAAACTGAAATAACACAATTTAATACCAAACTGGGACTTAAGAGAAAAACACAGACAACAAATAAGTGGGAGAAATTAGATTAAAAATTGATTCATCATGTCAGGCAATCCAATATAAAAATATCCTCATATCCCCTCTGCACTAGTTGCTAGGGAGTTATCATAGGAAATGAATTCTGCACAAAAGGTGTCTCCTGAGGACAGTTCCTGAAGCATCAGCACAGGGAGTGTAGAGGGAGAGGTTACAACCTCTTAGAGGGATTGGTCAATCATTTATTCAAGCAACAATTACTGAGAGCAAATTTCTAGCTGCTATCCTGGGGACAGCTAATGTATACTGAATTCCTCCTACTCCCAGGCACCATTCTAAGCATTTAACTCACTTAAACCTTGCAGCAACCCCATGAAATAGCCACTATTATTATTATTCACAGAAATAAGAAAATAAGAGTCATAGATAAATTAACTTGCCCAAGGTTACAGTTAGTAAGTGGCTGGGGTAAGACATGAACCCAGGCAATTCTAGCACTAGAACCTGCTCTTTCAACCAAAATGTTATTTTAGACTACCTCTCTGAAGTCAAATCATAACAGAAATAATTGTAATGGCACTAACACTGTTAGTGTTTATGATGGGCCAGATGCTATAGTATACCAGACACACACATTATCTTGCCAAAGATCAGTCAGTTCTCAGGTGGGAGAACTGATTCAAACTCTAACAGTTCAGTGTGCTTAAACTTGAGGGACAATAAAGTGCAGCAGGAGCCAGAATATGCAGTGTACAGGGTACAAAAGAGGAGCATAAAACAGGATGTAACTGACCTTTCCTGGTGAGAGTGGTGTTGAGTTGTGAACAGACTGGGACGGTGGAAAGCTTCACTGGGGGGTGACTTGTGAGATGAGTTGTGAAAGATAATTGGGTATTAGTCAGACAGAACAATAGAGCAAAGCAGAGGAACAGTGTGGATAAAGGAATAGAGATTTGAAAGAGCCTATTACATTCAGGAAACTGTAAGCAGTTTATATGGTTTTTGGAATTAAGTGGAGAGCAAGACAATGTAGAGGATAAGTCAGGAGGAGGCAGGGGGTTAGATCACAGAATCTTACTTGCCTTTCCAGGAAATGTGAGTTACTTTTAAAACTTTTCCATTGAAGTGAATGTTATGTCCCTGACTCAAAAAAAAAAATCCCCAGGGAATGTGGTATCTTAGCTTGAAGCCCTTCAGACTAGCAGGAATTCTTTGACATCTATTTTCTCTTACTAGTGCATGCATGCTAAATTTCCATTCCACTTTAAATTATTTACCCTCAAATGAAAATTTTAGGATAATTTCATCCTGTGACTTTCAGTATGCCTATGAATCTGCCAGGTTATGTGGACTCCAGTTTGAGAAACGGAGGGACTGAACTATCAAAAGGATTTTAATCAAGGGAGTATGGGATGAGATTTGTTTAGAAAGATCTGGAGATAGGGAGTCTGAATAATAATTTTATGGAGAGACTCAGAGGGACAGGATGGATGGATATTGAAGAGAGAATTTGATAGGATTTGGTATCTGATTTGCTATAAAGGGGGACTAGCTGGGAACATGGAAGGAGAATAGTTTAGAATGGCTTCCATATTCCTGGCTTAGGTAACACCCAGAAAAACTAGAAGAGAAACAGATACAGAGGAAAAGATGACTGGATTTAGACATCTATAACCTGAGGTACCTGTGGATCAGAGTACCTGAGTACCTGAGTAGAGATGCCCAACTAGAATCTGCAGCTAAGCAAAGAGGTTTGGACTAAAAGTAAAACTTAGTTTGACTTATGCACATAAAAATGGTGGTCACAGAGAAAGTGGGTAACATAAGAAGAAAAGAAGATTGAGAATGAGTTCCAGAGAATGGCCACATTCAAGAAGCAAGCAGAAGTATAGAAGTCCAAAAACTGCAGAGGAGGAATGTACAAAGAGGTGGAAGAACAAGGACAACGCATGCCATACAAGCCAAATAGGGAGAGAGAGACGTAAAGGAAATGGTTAGCATTGTTAAATGCAATGGAGATATTAATATAAGAATTGGGGAAAACTCATTATTTAGCCATTAGATCAACAACAGTCTTTGATATTGTTTCAGAAAAATGGTGGAAGCAGAAGCCCAACTACAGGGGCTGAAACATAGGGAGGTAGAAGAGATGGTGGTTGTTATAGGCTCTTTTTTTCAAGAGCATGCCTGTGAGTGAGCTAATGAGAGACTATACAGGGTCAAGAAGGATTTTTAATATGGAAGAGACATTAACTAAAACAACATTAACTAGGTCCATGACAATAGGTTTTGCCCAGGAAAATTAGCAAAAAGAACAAAGGATGGTCTACATGTGGGGTGTGGGCAAACACGATGAAGAATCAAATGGAGCACAAACTAGGAAATTAGGGTGAGAGTGAGAAAAGGCCGTATAGTAGCAGAGAGAGGAGGAAAAGGCCCAGAAAATTTTATATTTCATCTAGTAAAGAAGGTCACTGTCATTAAAAAGTAAAATTTCTTGCCTATACCAAAGGAGTCTCTCTTTACAAATCTCTTTCCCAGAGAAAAGAGAGATGTCAGAGTGGGAAGGTGACCACTGTCATACCTGTACCTCTTCGGTAACTTAACCACCTCTTTGATGGATCTTCACCAGAGAATGATATGAAAGCTAGAAAACAGGGCCAAGAAAATGATCTAGAAGGATGCTGATATATAAAGTTGTAGGCAACAGAGAGGGAACTTTGGAGCAGTTTATAGCAGTCTGAGAGACTTAGGGGTAATTTAGGAAAACAGTGGCCTATCAAGTATCATGGTCCTACAGTGAAGAAAACAAAAATATTCCTGGGGACCAGAGGCTTGAGAATTACTGTCAGAGCCTGATAAGCTAGAAAGATCTCTGGGATCACTCAGGCAAGAAAATTAAGTTCCAGGAATTCAGAAGCTTTTTCCATGCTGTGCCCAGGGAAGTTGCCATGTGCAAATGGTAGCTGATATCCTGAGAGTATATAACTTATCAAGAGACCACATAAAGAACCCATGATCTGCCTCAGTGATACATGGGAGCTCAAGAACAAGAAGAGAGAAAGTTTGTCCTGAGGGACATGTCAAAGTGATAAAGCACCATGGTCCTGATCGGTGATAGAGTTTGCCTTCTGTTCTAATCAGAAAGTGCTGTCTGCAAACCCTTTCCAAGTGCTAGCTATTCTTTTTTTTTTTTTTTGGTAATAGGATTGAACCCAGAGGTATTTAACTACTGAGCCACATCCCCAGCCCTTTTTTAATTTTTTAAGATAGGGTCTCACTAAGTTGCTGAGGCTGGCCTCGAACTTGGGATCCTCCTGCCTCAGCCTCTCAAGTCGCTGAGATTACAAGAGTGCACCACCAAGCCCCGTGCCCCTATGCATTTGAGACTTTCAGGCAAAAACCACATCAAACATCCTTAAATTGGGACTGTGGACTCTCAAGGCTGAGCAAAAAAGGAAAACTCTGGTCCTGGCCAATGCTAAACTGCAATAGGCTATCCCCCCAAATCTGAGGCAGACAGAAGAAAATATTCACCCTTTAGTAGTTCCTCTAGGAGCTGACCCAGGGTGGGCGTTTGGAAGGATTCAGCCTCCGTCCTGCCTGGTGCTGGGATCAGCTCACACGGCTCCTGTGTCCATGGGACACAGAGAATACATTGTCCATAAGGAGGATTATTCTGTACAAGAAACTCAGACAAAGGGAGAGGTTGTTTCCAGCTGCTTGGGGGAGGTGGAAAGGGGGTAGGAAAGGGGCCCAGCTTTGCACTGGGGCATTCCTGCAGAGTTCAGCTTCTTTTCTCCAGCAGCATGACAGGAGGTGGGCTATAACATCCCTTCCAGCTCAGGCCCAATGGTGGGACCCATTATGGAGTGGGAAGGAGTACTTGGCTACAACCTATCTTAGCCGTTTCCCAAAAAAGCTCATGGCTGAGTAAGGTAAGCCAGCTAAGTAGAGAAGCAATACATACAGGGAGGGGAAGAGAACACTGCAACCTGGGCAATGAAGAAAAGGAGATTCAGCAATGACCGAATCCCAGCCTCAAGGTAGAACTGGAGAGGTTCTAAGCAATGGGCATTAGGCTGACATTAATTCAATAAGCCTCCATCTTTTGTGGGATGAACTGTGCTGTGGTACTTGAGGTTTCACAGCTGTTGCTTCTTTCTCCATCCCAGAAACAACCTGGGAAACAAGGCCTAATCCCTTTCTCCCTGGGCCCCAAGGGTAGGAGAAAGTACAATCCCTGAGCAAAACAGGACAGTAAGAAACAGAGAAACTACCAGAGTAGGCCACCGGTCAGCTTTTGCAAATCTTAAATCTGAGCAGGTAAGCATATCATGTTCTCTTCTTCAAAGGAAACTCCATATACAGTCCCTCCTTAGGGACTGTTAGGAGAGATACATTCTCTCCATTCTGGATTCTGGGTTGTATGGGCCCCCAAGTGGGAGATGTGACAGCTTTGTGTACCCAGAGGTGGAAGGTGGAAATGAAAGCATGTACCTCAGGCGGGGGGTGGGGTGGAAAAGAGAGCATGTACTCGCAGAATGACTAATACTTAGGTATGAGCACTCCAGAGTAAGAAGTAAAATCTTTGCTTAAGGGCAAAAGATTTAGGTAAAGTTGTACATTTATTTTTGTTGGGACAGGAGGATATTTGTTCTTGGAGGACACAGAATCCACTTTAATAGCTTTATGTGAATGAAGTCGGTATCAGGCTGAGACAACAAAGAAACATAGGGTTTGTACCACTGGTGAAGTAAAGGAGAAAGTCATCAAAAGTTGCTCCAAGGGTTTTATAGAAGTATGGCTGGAGCTCTGTCCAATATCCTAGTTAGCTCTGATGTTTCCAGTGGGAAGGGAAAAGGTGAGAAGATAAACAACACATGACTGGGTTAATGGGCCAGACTATTCAAATGGGGGAAAGGTCTGGTGTTGCCTCAGAGCTGATGACAGGACTCCCCTACTGCAGTGTATTGTGGTCACTAAGCTTTATGGACATCATTCCGCATCTTGTTGGGACAGCAACAGGTGACAACTAGGACCACTTGTCCTGGCCTCTGCTGCCACAGCCTGGCAGAGTGCTGTTTGGTACCAATCAAAGGCCAAAGTACCAGTGTGACAGAACAGGAAAGGCAGCTGGAAGGATGAGAAGTAAGAAAGTCTCAGGGTTTCTAGTGCAAAGCTAATTAAAGATTAATGTTTTATAGAGAAAAAAAATTTGAATTGCCTTGTAGCACTCACTAATGGAATTGTCTCTGATCCCTATATTGGCTCTCATAAATTGCTGAGCTAGTTAATATCAATTTAAATACCTTTATTTCATAGAGAAATCCTTTGGTCCACTTCAGCTGATTCAATCTCTGTGCTTGCTCACAAAGGAGTACTGAGAAAGGCAGCACAGGCTGGTTGTCCAAACACACTCTGCTCTTCAACTCTATAAAGTAGGCAATGCTATCGGGCTGCCCGCTCCCACTATTGATCTGGCTCTTACCTAAACCATAGAGTTAATTTAATGGAGGAAAACCATCCTGACCAGCGTGCAGGATCAAGGCACAATTATATACAAACTAAACCCTGAAGACAGTGTGAAGGGCAATCACCTCTTCCTCCAAAATAAGAGGAAGAAGGGGATTTACATGTGCTACAGAGAAACCCTTTCTCACACAGTCTTGCCTGGCCCCTTGATATCCTCCTTCATGTGTACAAGATGGGATAAAAGATGAGGATTTTTATGTATTTCCCATATAAGAATTTAACTTGCCTTCAGAGATGGACAGGCCTAAGTTTCATTACAGCTGTAGGTAGAAGGTTTGTCCCCACCCAGAAGTCTCTTCATCTGAACCTTAGAGGGACAGCAGGGTGGAACCTGAGTGGAGACACCTGAGAGCCAATATGCCTCAAAGGACATCCAGGCTGTTACTGTTTCTAGTAGCACAAAATAAGCACAGGCTTATTTGATTCTGGGTTCATCAGCTCACCATTGACAATGGAATAGCAGCACATCAGGTGGGTTCTGGATCAAGAACTGTGGAGGGCAGAGTGAAGAAGTGGCTATGAAAACAACCATTTATTGAGCACCCATTACTTCATATACTGTGCTAAATGTTTTACAGTCATTTTCTCATTTTAATCCTCATAACAACCCTATGAGGTAGGTATCATCACCATTTACAAATGAGAAAACAGGTTCAGAAAACTTAGGTCTGTTGCCCAAAGTCATATAGCTAGTAGTCACCAGTGGAGCTGGGCTCTGTCTGTTGCTGAAAGCCCATGTTCTGTTTATTGCACCCATCTAGGTGAGCCTTGAGCAAAGGTAATATGACTGTACAACTGTGCAAGATCACCTGGTACTAGAGGCTGCTGTTCACACTCACCGCTGGTAGGGATGCATTGAAGCTGATTTGATGTTGGTTTTTATTCCACTTGGCATTTTCCCTAAAAGGAATACGAAGAAAGACATCTGAAGCAAGGCAAGACTTTCACAATAAATCAGAAATGTCGTTTCTCAGGTTCCCTCCTGCCATCTCCTTTATCATTGCAGAACCCCTGTGGTATCTGACCCTGGTTGGCAGAGATCAGAGGTGTGGTTCTTCACCAGCTCCCTCCCTGAAGGTATCTAGGAGGAAAGGGGTGATTTGGGAGAATAGTGGGAGAGGTGTCCTGCTTATCTACTCCTAGGAAAGACACATAAACCTGTGTGATCCTTGTTCAGTGTTACAGGTAAAAGAGTACTGTATTCTTGCCAGGTACAGTGGTATGTATCTGTAATCCCAGCTACTCAGGAGGCAGGAGGATTGCAAATTTCAGGCCAGCCTGAACAATTTAACAAAACCCTAGCTCAAAGAAAAAAAAAAGACAGCTGGGCATATAGCTCAGTGGTAGAGTGCCCCCGGCTCAATCCCCAGTACCACAAAAAAAAAAAAAAAAAGAAAAGAAAAGAAAGAAAAAAAGGCTATGTTTTCTCTTGATTCTGTTGTCTTTTTTCCTAGACAGCATGTAAGAAATAACTCTTCTTGCTGCTTGCATCTGAATTCTTCCAGACTATTCTCTTAATTACTAAAAGTGAGTACAAGAGAAGGCAGGAAGGCAAGAGAGATAGGATACAAAGAAAATAATACCAGTAGGAACAAGAAACTGCCTCCTTGTCAATTCCTGATGCATCTTCCAAATAACCTTGATTAAGTAAGGTCTGACCACTGATTTTGTTTTTTCTTTGGTACTGGGGATTAAACCCAGGGGCACTTACATACTGACCTACATCCCTAGCCCTTTTTATTTTTTATTTTGAGGGAGGGTCTAAGTTTCTTAGGGCCTCACTAAGTTGCTGTGAGGCCCTAAGCAATCCTCCTGCCTCAGCCTCCTAAATCACTGGGGTTACAGGAGAGCACTCCACAGCTAGCTGACCATTGATTTTTCTACCCACAAAGAGACACTGACCACAAACCTAATCTCCAGAGTAAATGGGACAGGACAGTTGAGAAAGAGGTATGAGATGGGGTAGAAATTGAGAGCAGTTTCTCCTACTCAAAGTTGTTCCTTACTCTCTGATGCCTGCTTCAGAGTTTCAGATGAGAATTTTTACTGAAAATTGTTTTCTGAGTCACTATGCAAAGGAGAAAACCCCCAGGTCTGGGGATGCTGGGAGCCTAGATAATCCTGATCATCTCTATTCCCCTGTTCAAAGTCAATTACATTTCCACCCTTGCCACCTTACCAGGTTGACCTGCTTGAGCCATTTGCACTCCACTGAGCATTGGCTGCTGCTGGCTTGGAGCTCCTGCCATTTGTACTTGCTGTAATCCTGAGGTTCCTGCAAGGATTGTCCCAGCTCCTGGCTGGCCTGGTTGGCCAGGACCACTGCTGCCTGAAGGTCTCCAATTAGACAGACCCTTCCCAAAGGCAACAGCTGCCACCAAGGCATTGGTGTCTGCAGGGTTAAAGGTCTGCTTGTTTGGTCGGAGACCTGAAGAAAAAGGAGGACCATGAAGTATACATCTGGTCCTAGGACTGAACCTAGCAGCTGGAGGGCCTGCAGATTGCCAGGGTTTGGAGTTCTGACTTCAGCATCATCTAGACTCTCACAGTCCAGAGGAAAAGTCAGAATACCCTCCAACCTATCCTCAAATTTTCCCTTTTCATTTTGCCATTTCTTCTACCTGCTTCAGGGCTGGCCTTAAACACAAAAGGCTAGCAGTATGGTTGCAAACCCTTTCCTAAGCAGTTCATTCTGTGTCTTCACTTTATTACCACCCAAACCACCATGGCTATTCCAGTCATCTTATTATACACGTCTCCCTCTGTCACCAATACTTCTTTACCTCCACTCTCTGATTCTCGCTCCTCTTTGCTGATTTTCTCCAGAAGGTTTGAGCACATTTTATTCAAGCTCTGGATCTGCTTCTGTAACATACAAATGGTGCAGTGATTAAAATAAATAGGAAACGACTATGGAGAATTTCTTCCAGAGACAGTTTAGTGCAATAATTGAGTATCTCTACTACATAGGAGTGGTAATGTTTGCTTCTCATCAAGGGATGGAGATGGAATCATCAGGGCAGTGACTTAGTACAACCTGAGCTGCATCAGCACCAATGCGGGCAGCGTCTGTTGTCAGTTGTTTCTCCTGCTCTTCAACCTCAGGATCAGGCTTGGTTCTCAGATGGTCAGGGACCACCTCATGGCTGAAAACAGGTACCCGTCCTTCAGTCTGCCGCTGTAACACAGATTTTATTGATCCTACCATGTACTCCAAGAATTCGATCTAGCCTTATTTCCTTTCTATAGGCAAACAGTGCATTTTCAGGGAAAACAACTTGAAACACAATATCTAGCTTCTTAGAACACTGTCTCTTTCCCTCTACTTGTGATTTCTGTCTCCTCACATGGCTATCTATACCATACTTAAGGGCAAATTAAACTCCTCTCTTTGCCACATTTTAATCAAAGACTGGAATAGACAAAGTTACAAAAGGACTTTTTTTTGCAAGACAGATACTGGAAGAAGTCTTGGTGATATAAGCATCTGGATTTTTTTTTTTTTTTTATTTTTATTGTTGGTTGTTCAAAACATTACAAATTTCTTGACATATCATATTCCTCACTTTGATTCAAGTGGGTTATGAACTCCCACCTTCACCCCATACACAGATTGCAGAATCACATCAGTTACACATCCATTGATTTACATATTGCCATACTAGTGTCTGTTGTGCTCCGCGGCCTTTCCCATCCTCCACCATCCCCCCTCCCCACCTCTCCCCTCCCCTCCCCTCCTCTCTCTCTTACCCCCTCCACTGTATAACCCTGAGGGTCTCCTTCCATTTCCAAGCATCTGGATTTTTAATAGCACTATTTGGGAGCTTTCTCACCTCCAGGACAAAAAAAGCAAGGCCTCCAAAATGCAGTCCTTCCTTCTCACTGCCACATATTAGCCCACATTTAGAACTTCTAGAATAACCAATCAAAAATTCTTAGACTTTCATCTAAGAACTTAATTTCCCAAGTTGTACACTTTTTCTCTTCTTACCATGAGATCTTCATCTCGATCTGGGGACAACACCAGAGGAATAATGACCTGGTTACGGAACAGTGGGGTCTTCTCATGCTTCAAAACCTTGTTCAGAGTGTTCAACTGTCCAGATAGCAATGCAAAGCTGTCCAGGACAGAGGGCCTGGTGGTGATAAGAAAGTATAGAATGTTCCAACCCTTCCCTGTAATGTAATAATTAAGAGGCTCAAAAGACTCATAGCCCTATGACTAGCCTAGATGAGAACCAAATTGGCTAACAGGAATGATGGGGTTAGGAAAGAAGGACGCACTTTCAGTTTCTGACACAGATACAGAAAAAGGCAGTTCATTGTTTGAAAGGGGTGAGTAACACTGGCAAAATAGGAATCATAGCTATAGTATTACAACTGAAAATTCAGAAACTGGGTAAAATTCTCCTTTCCAACCTGGAAATAAGATCCACTATTCCTGAGTAGGTTGGATCTAAAAGACTAAAAGCCACATCTGTGGAAAGAGATCCAGCAAAAAGGGCCTCTTCACCAGAAAAAAAAAAAAAAAATCCAAGTGTAAGGATCAAAAACAACCTGGCTTGGGAAACTGAGCTTTTCTCTACTTCCTTACCATGGAGGCCCTAAGCCAAACTTTACTTCAATGTTGGGCAACACAACTCTTTCCAAATCAAAAGATGTTTACAAACTGATAAATGGTTACATCATTAGAAATGTCCTATCCATCAGAGGCCTGGCCCCCCCACCCAGTAAGCCCTCCCCAGCTTGCCCTGGAAATCCAGCCCTCCCCAGCTTGCCTTGGAAACCCTTACCAGGTTAGCCGGTCATACTCGTTTTCCAGCTTATAAATGAAACTTCCCAGTGAGTTCTTCAGATCAGCCACTTGACTCAGCAGTGCATCTAATGATGCCTCAAGCTGCTTCTCCTCTCGCTGCAAATAGGAACAGGTTGGTTACCCAGAGAGACACAAAAGTGTGACACATACAGAATAAAGCTGAAAAGCCAAGTTGTTTTCTATCTTTGGCATCTGGGTTACAGACAGCATCAACCCTTAGACCTTTCAACCCGTTCACCTGACCTCAACTCCTCCTACTTACCAACTGATTTTCTTATTACCCCAAATCCAGGCATGGTTCTTCTCATGATTTTTTTTTTTTTTTTTTTTTAGGTACACCCTATTGTTCCTCATTGAGAAATTTCACCAGATCCAGTGCCTGTTCATTATCTTATGGGTGCCTCTGCAGCACATGTACACCATATTCCTCTGTCTTAGAATCTGCCTTGGAACCTGGCTATTCTTGTTAACAACACAATTTCTGGGACATCTGCCTATACATAAAGCTTTCTCTGAAAACCAGCTCTGCACTCTCTCGGCCCTGCCTCCTTAGCATTTGATGTTTTGACCTTCTCTTTGTTGAGTTAATGTGCACTCATTTATCTCTGCCAATATTCCCATGCCTCTTTCACAAGTCTGTTGACCCATGAGCATTTATTGAGAGACTATCAGGTGTAAGTTCATGACAAATGAAAAACAAGAAAACTCGCACGTTTCTGAGAGCCAGACAAACAATTTTAAATTCTGGGAATCTGTAAAGCATTTCCTTCCCATTGTCGGACGCTCTTATATTATTCCATTTCTTCACCCTTAACAACTATTGGGCACAAGCTGGTTAAGAATGACGCAAAGCAGTCTTGCAAACTCGGGAACGTGCCCGACAGGAGCTTGACCTTGGGTTCCACCCACAGCCTGAGATTTTTATAAATAGTTTAGCTTTTGGCCTCCGCGGACAATTCCTTCAGCCCTTGGGCTTCTCTCCAATTACAGATCCCTTGTTTGTCTGCATCCAACAGCCTAGTTGGGGCCTGAGTCAGTCCACCACTTTCTTGAGCCGTCTTTCCTTAGATTGATCCTCAGCTTTCCCAAATGACAACCTGATCCTTCCCAACATTCAGGAGGTTAGCGCTGCATCCTTCCTCTCGCCTGAGCCGAGACTGTCCTCCTGTCAGCCGCCTCAATCCCCACTGGCCTCTGCGCTCCCTTTCCAGTTGGCCTCGCCCCCAATCTCCCGTTCAGTGTTTCCATAACAGCCGCAGGCTCTGCCTCCCCAGCTCCTCACTCTCATCAGCCAGGCCACTCTCGGTCCTGTTATCCCGGGCTAGCTATCTGCCAGGAGGCCTAAACTGGGTTCTCACCTGCATTGCTGCGGGGCGGCTGCAGCAACGACTTCCTCTTCCGGTTTCCCAGACAGCTAGCGCGACTGAGAGGGCTTCATCCACCAATCAGAAAGCTCAGAACTCGGCCTTCCCATCCACTTCCGGTTTCATTTTCGTGACGAGATAGACAGGTCAGGGGTCAAGAGTGGAACATCCTCCTTGGCCCGGGCCGGTGCGGGAGGGATGTGTGATGGCCTCGGAGCGCCCGGAGCCGGAGGTGAGGGGCGGGCGGGCGCAGTCTGGAGCCCCGAGACTTGAGGGGGAGGGTCCAAAGAGCAGATTTGGCTTCGCCCTCCTCCTGCGCAGTCTTGGCCGAGCCGGGTCAGCTCTGAAACCAACTCTCCGTGGTCCACAATTTCCTTGGGCGACTAGAGAATTTTTTTGCTTTGTTTTGTTTCCTGAAATTTCGTTTGCGTCGGTGACCCTTTGACCTAGTGATAGTGGTATTATCAAACTTGTTTTGATTATTTGTTGCAATTTAGTGGGCAACACGACAGTAGACTGCCTTTGTCGGCTTCTGCGTTTCTTAAAACGTTGAAATGCAATAAACAGCATGCGTTAATTTAGTTCTAGGGCTTATGCTTTTGGAAAAAGCAGCTTTGGTTTCATGAAAGAAACATTTGACTAGGGGTAAGACCTTATTCCAGTGTTTACTCTGCTATTTAGCTATTTCTGCAACCTCGGGCAATTCTGGGATGTGTATAATGATACAAATAGTCGTCGTGACTTGCTGGATACTTAACTATTTGCCAGGCACCTTTCTAAAATCAGTTTTCTCAATCCTATGAAGTAATCACCATTATCATCCCTGATGTTTCAGTTGAAGAAATTGAAGCACAGAGCTGTTAATAGTAATAAAGTTAACAGAGCTAGTAAGTTTTTTGGCTAGAACAACAAAACTGGCCCCATACTTCCTGTGTTTTGTTTTGTTTTGTTTTGTTGCAGTACTGGGGATTGAACCAGGGGCACTCTATCTCTGAGCTACATTCCCAGCCCTTTATATTTTATTTTATTTCATCTTATTTTTGATCCTGAGGATTGAAAGCACAGATGCTTACCACCAAGCTACATTCCCAGCCCTTTTTATTTTTTATTTTTTGAAAGAGGGATTCACTAAGTGGCCAAGGGTCTAAGATGCTAAGACTGACCTCAAACTTGTGATCCTCCTTCCTCAGTATCCCAAGTTGCTGGGATTACAGACATGCTCCAACCTGCCCAGCTCCCAGCCCTTATGGTTTTTTATTTTGAGACAGGATCTTACTAATTTCCCGAGGCTGGTTTTGAACTTGTGATTCTTCTGCCCCAGCCTCCCAAGTAACTTGGATAACAGGCATGTTCTACTGTGCCCAATCAGACCTTCTGTTCTTAACCATAATGTTGACAGCATAGATAACAGAGTAGCCACAGGATGGCAAATCTCTACTTCATTGGAATTTGTTGCGATGACACCCAACATTGAAAATGATTGGTTGTAGGAAACTATGCCCTACTAAAAAGAATCGGACATGTTCACAAGGATAATAGAGTAGCCCATGCATCAAAAATATCAATATTGAGGGGCTGGGGATGTGGCTCAAGTGGTAGCGCGCTCTCCTGGCATGTGTGCAGCCCGGGTTCGATCCTCAGCACCACATACAAACAAAGATGTTGTGTCCGCCAATAACTAAAAAATAAATATTAAAAAATTTAAAAAAAAAATATCAATATTGAGAAAAACTATGAAAAGTTGGAATATGTTTCCATATAGGTAAAAATGAGAGGACATTAAGGGGTTTTGTCTTTTTTTTTTTTTAATATTTTAGTTGTAGGTGGACACAATATCTTCATTTTATTTATTTATTTATTTTATGTGGTGCTGAGGATCGAACCCAGTGCCTCACACATGCGAGGCAAGTACTCAACCACTGAGCCACAACCCCAGCCCTGTTGTGTCTTTGTTTTTGAATCATGGGAAAATACAACATACCTTTTAGGCAGAGAGTTAAAATAATCAATGTCCCATAAAAATCTAATGTGAGTCACATATGTAATCTTAATTTTTTAAATAGCCACTTAAGGAAGTGAAAAAAGATAGTTAATAGCCAAAAGTTAAGTATTTGTTAATTCCCCCCCCCCCTTTAGTGCTAGGATCAAACCTAGAGTCTCCCATATGCTAGTAAAGCACTAAACCATTGAACTACATTTGCAGCCTGTGTTTGTTAAATTCTTGATTTGCTTTCTGAAAATTTCATTTCAGAAGATAAAGTGAGCAAAGAGTTCTGCCTCTGAGCATAAAAAAGACTTGCTTTTAGAGGATACTAGTATCCCAGTAGAATAAACGTGCCTAGTCAGACTTAGGAAATCATTCATTCATCATATTCTATGGGTATTGCTGTGGACTCAGAATTTTACTAATTATCAGGTGGATACAGAGCACTGTAAGACAGATGTGCTCCCTGTGTTTTCCCCCCATATTTTATCAGTACATTATAATTACACATAATAATGAGATTCCTTGTTATGTACATGTATACAATATAATAATATAATTTGGTCAATATCATTCCCAAATATTTCCCTTTTCCCTCCCCTTTTTCTTCCCTGGGTCCCTTTCCTCTACTGGTCTCCCTTCAATTTTCATGAGATTCTCACCACCATCTTTCTTTTCCTTTTTCCTCTCTGTGTTTTCCATATGAGAGAAAAAGAAACTGCTCTTGATTTTCGAATTTGGCTTATTTTACTTGACATAATTCTCTCAAGTTCCATTCATATTCCTGTAAGTGACATAGTTTCATTCTTCTTTATAGCTGAATAAAGCTCCATTGGGTGTATATACCACATTTTCCTTATTCATTGACAGACACCTAGACTAACCATTTGGCTATTGTGAATTGTGCTGTTATAAACATAGGTATGCATGTATCAATATAGTATGATGACTTTAATTCTTTAGTATAAGTACTAAGGAGTTGTGTAACTGGTGGAACCACTCATATGGTGGTTCCATTCCTAGTCTTTTTTAAAAATATATTTTTAGATGTTGGTGGACCTTTATTTATTCATTTATTGATTATGCAGTGATAAGAATAAAACCCAGTGCCTCACACATGCTAGGCAAGTGCTCTACCACTGAGCCACAACTTCAGCTCCCCATTCCTAGTCTTTTGAGGAACCTCCATGCTCATTTCCATAGTGATTGTATTGATTAACAATCCCATCAACAGGGTAAAAGTGTTCCTTTTTTCTTCACATACTCTCCAGCATCTATTTTTGTTTGTATTATTGATGGCTGCCATTCTAACTGGAGTGAAATGAAATCTCAATGTAGTTTTGATTTGTATTTCCCTAATTGCTAACAATGTTGAACATTTTTTCCATTTAGTTGTTGGCTATTTATATTTCTTTTTTTATTTTTTTTTTTTTTGTACTGGGTATTGAACCCAGGAATGCTAAAAAACTGAGCCACAGCCCTTTTTTTTTTTTTTTAAAGAGAGAGAGAGAGAGAGAGAATTTTAATATTTATATTCTAGTCTTCAGTGGACACAACATCTTTGTTTGTATGTGGTGCTGAGGATCGAACCCCGGGCTGCACGCATGCCAGGAGAGCGCGCTACCGCTTGAGCCACATCCCTAGCCCTAACCACAGCCCTTTTTATTGTTTATTTTGAGACAGGGTCTCTCTACATTGCTGAGGCTGGCCTCAAACTGGCAATCCTCTTGCCTCAGCTTCCTGAGTCACTGGGATTACAGTATGTGCCACCATGCCTGGGTTGTATTTCTTCTTTTGAGAGGTGTGTGTTAATAAATGGGAAAATAATAATAAAAGGTGTTAATAAATGGGAAAACAATTTTTCCCATTCATTAATTTTTTTTGGCATAAGTTTTTTGAGATTTTTATGTATTCTGTATATCAAGTCTCTGTCAAGAATAGCTAGCAAAGTAGAGCTGGGCGTGGTGGTGTATGCCTGTGATCCAAGCGACTCGGAAGGCTGACACAGGAAGATCGCAAGTTCAAAGCCAGCCTCAGCAAAAGTGAGGCACTAAGCAACTCAGTGAGACCCTGTCTCTAAAGAAAATACAAAATAGAGCTGGAGATGTGGCTCAGTGGTCAAGTGCCCCTGAGCCTGAGCTCAATCCTCATTACCAAAAAAAAAAAAAGCAAAGATTTTTAATTTGATGCCACTTTATTTATTAATTCTTTTTTTTTAGCTGTCAGTAGACCTTTATTTTATTTATTTGTGGTGCTGAGAATCAAACCCAGTGCCTCACAAATGCTAGACAAGCAGTCTACCACTGAGCTACATCCCTAATCCATCATTTATTAATTCTTGGTGGTATTTCTGAACTTTAAGAGTCCTACTGAGGAAGTTGTTGCTCCTCTTACATGTTGAAGTGTTGACCGTACATTTTCTTCCACGTGTTGCCTAGTTTCTGGTCTATTTCCTAGTTCTTTTATCCATTTTTGAGTTGACTTTTGTGCAGGGTGCAAGCTCCCTATCTTTCTGGGGTAAGCAAACATTGAATTAGGATAATAAGTGCTGCAGTGGAATGAATGACGATGCTTGACCAGGATATTTAACCTATTTCATTGGATCTCAAAGCCTGGAAGAATGACATTTAAGTTTACTAAGTATCTAATACTCCCCCTCAAAAAGTATCTAATTCTCCTAAAATAGGCACTATTATATATTAACAGATGAAGAGAATGAAGCACACAGAATTTAAGTCCCTGTGCCAAAGCCATATAGCTAATATGCAGTAGAACCAGCATTTAATCCGAGGTTCTCTGAAACTAGATGCATACTCTTATCTGAGCAGTGTGGAGAACTGACAAGAGATAAGGCTGGAGAAGATTCAGTGTGATTCCATGCTAGAGGTTTAGTATAGTGCTGAGGAGGCTTCAGACAGTTCAGGGCTGGGAGTATCTACATTATTTTGTGGAATCTGTGAACAGAAGACAGCACATGGGTTAGAAAAGACTCAAAAAATATTTAGACCTTAACCTCAAAGGCACAGATGCAAGAACCTGGAAACAGCAGTTTAA